ACTCTAATGTGAAATTCATGGAGTAACCTGCAGAATAGATTTAGTTTGTTTGCTCTTTTGTAATTGAAGTGTGTTAGAAAGTCTTTCCTGTTGAAATCTGTTTAGTCTCAAAGTACATTGTTGGCAATCTATCCGCTCTGGATCATGGTTCCTGAATATATAATGGTTGTGGACACAGTGTGGGCTGCACGTTGGAATGACACACATTTGCCTTGGTATTTCATCACTTCTTTTATAATGTAGAGATTATAGTTCGTAATACTAGTTAGAAGTACATATTTAAAACTATTCTAAATGTATTAATTCCATGATTAGCAATTAAAGAAGGCTGCAGCTGTTTGGCAGAATTTGTTAAATCCTGGAATGATTTGGACACATATAAATTGTAAAAAGCTTTAATTTTGAAAAAGACTTTTAAAGTAGACATACAAAAGCCAAATTTTTATAGCTAAAATGTATCTCCTTTATCATTTACTTTGCTAAAATAGCAAACTGTTATTTTTTAAACTATTTCTTATCTTTGTGCCACTAATGAGTTTACATGCCATTGCGAGGTCTTTTTGACGGTACTAGCACACGGTTATTCCTTCAGTTGGGCTTTAGACACAGACTGCCCTCACCTTACCTTGCTCTGTGCCAATGCACTAGTAGTCTCGGGCCAGTGCACTGCATGTAGTCTTCAAAAGTTTTGTAATTTTTCTGGTTCTTCAGTTACTGTCAAGCTTTTAGCTGTCATTTCTTACTCTTAAAGTTATTTACAACAACCACTCTCATGTACTGCTTGTAAATGCACAGTGAGCTCAGAAGAGATCCTAGAAGGTTTTAGATATGCAAGCATAAAGACGGTCTTTCCTGCTCAGATGCTGACTACTCCCAGAAGCCATCAGTAAGCACTGAGTGGTATTTTTGACTTCTTGTTGTTTACATTTTTATTACAAAAAGTATGTACTTTGTAGAAATCTGGGGGAGTTCATAACAGTGAAAAGAAGCTAACGAGAAAATACAAGGCTATCATCTATAGGCTGCATGGCTGCTCTGAATAGTTTTATTTTTTCTTTTAAAATGTCTTTGTAGGCGGGGAGAGGGAGAGAGGGAGAGAAAGAAATAGAGACATAGAGAAAGAAGTCTTTTTAAGGTATTTTACTTAGTGAAAATTATTCTACATGTAAAATCAAACAAAGTACATATATTACATTTTTAAACTTATTGAATACCTGCATCCTATGTCCTTGGACAGATAAACTGTAAAGTATTTACATATTTTAATAGATTATTGGGTACTTATTCTTCATCCAGATTTTTGCTCCTATAAATGAGATAGTGATGAACATCTTCGAGCATCGTTCTTTTTTGTCATATTCCAGATTAGTAGAAACTAAAGTTATAAAATAGAATTTAAATACTCCTTCATCATGGCTTTTGAAATTCACTTAATAATATTTGTCATTATTGCCAGTAATACCAACATTGCTAATCATTTATTGAGTACCCGTAGCAGCATGCTTTGTTTTTTATACTTTAAATCCAAAAGGCAAGCTTCTTTAAGTTACTTATATTCTAAACAGCAGGAAAAATGAGTTAGCAGATTAAAGAAAGAAGATGAGAAAAATACAATGAAATGATATAGAGTTCGATGTAAACTACCATGACTGATGGTGGAGCTGGCAAGTAACCTTGAACCAACAATTTCTTGAGTAGTTTTAAACATGCCAATAATAAAAATAATACAGGTAAATAACTATAACTACTTTTCATGTATTTCTTATAAAACCTTTTTCATTTCTGCATGAGACTTTGACTTTCGGTTTACTGTTTCCTGGGACACCTGATGATAGGGTGTTTTAGGTGAGGTTTTCCTGACCAACAGATTTTGAAATGGAGATTTGCATGCAGGAAGTCTGTTGGGGAGTTTTCTTGGGACCAACACCTGTCAGGAATAGAACTGGGCAGGAATTGAGCTGTAATGTCACAGCAGCGGACTCAGGTTGTAAGGTCCAACCAGGGCGGCCAGGTTTTCCTTAGACAGTCCCAGTTTAAACCTGTGCTCTCGGTATAATTACTGGTAATCTGTCTTCATTCTCACAAGTTTCTATAATACATTCCTTGGTCACTGTAGATATATCTACAGAAATGTGCTAAATATGTGTGGTCATTTTCAAGACTCGCTGGAAAAAACACATTTGTGTGACTACCACCACAGTCAAGGAATGGTCCCCTGGCGGCCCCAGCAGTGTGTTTCCCACATAGAACTCCATCTTCCTTAGAGATAGCTACTATCCTTACTTTTTCTCAGTTTTTATTTTTTATTAGTAGGTGTTTGCAGTGGATGACAATTACATTCCTTGTGGGGATTGGTACATGCATCTCACACATCTCAGTTCTTTCTCATCTTCCCCTCTCACCTATTTCTTGATCCCCTTCTTATTTGATGAGGATCTGTCTCCCTAGTTAACTATTATCTGTCTTTTATTTTTGCCCTTTATTTGTATTCTGGGTTTCTCATATATTTTCCTGCATTTTAAATTAATAAAAGCTAAATTGTCAAAACCTAAAATTACTACTAGAATTTTCTTCCAATTATTTTTAATATTATATTTATTTATTTTTATTAATTTTATTGGTGCAGTGTAGATATACATAATGATCATATTCATCATAGGGAATTTGTACCTTTATATGATATATCTTGATTCCTCATTTTTTTATATTCATCTTTATTATATTCATCACATATATTAATATATGTAATTCCATACTCTTATATTACTAACACATATCTTAAAAGTATGTTTGTGTTTTAATATATGACTACAAGGTTGTAGGTAAACAACCTGAAATTAAATGTTGAAATTTTAATTTCTTTAAAAAAATTATTTTTCAGTACTGAGGATTGAACCCAGGGCCTTTGCACTGAGCTATATCCTCAACCCTTTTTATTTTTTATTTAAAGACAGTCTCTCCAAATCACTAAGTTGTCAAGTCTGAGCTCAAATGTGTGATCTTCCTGCTTCAGCCTCTGAGAGTGCTGAGATTACAGGTGTGCATCACTGTGCCCCGCTGGTGTTGGAGTTCTATTATGCATTTATTACACTAAGATTAACGAGCAAGAAGACAAAGCTCTTGGCCTCAAGAATTTGATAATTTAATGAGTGATTATGATACAGAGCCTTTGGTATAATGATCGGAAGCATGGCCCCGATGTTAGGGAGTAGCTAGCCTCCAGGCTGGACTTCCTAAAGGAGGTGATGGCTCATTTGATCCCTGAAGGCAAGTAGCAGCTCCCCAGGTGCAGGTGGGTGTGTCACGAGGGCAGAGCTCACAGGTCACTTCCCAGTCGCATGGTCCAGAGACAAGGACAGTGTGGCAAATGTCGTCACTGCCAGTACCCGCTGTAACGGGAACGCAGTGTTCTCTGTGATCTCTCAGGAGGCAAGGGTGTCTTTTGGGTCAAGGTGGTTTTTTTCAGGACAGTGGTGTGAGACAGTAAGAGACAGATGAACATCGGATCCTGAAGGGCCTGAAGCATCATACTAAGGAATTTGGATTGCATCCTGATCGCAATGAGAACACTTGGAGATTCAAGAAGGGATTGTCCAGCTGAGTGACATGACCATATTGCATCTTTAGAAAAGATTTGAAAACAGAAGTTGTATCTACAGAATTAGCATTTAAATTGACAATTCTAAAAGGAGGAAAACTAGAGTGAAGATTCTTGCAATCAGCCACTTGTAAAATGATGGTGGCTTGAGCTAAGCCAGAGGAATTGAGAGTGGGAAGAAGTGGACAGATTTAAGAGACAGATGGAGACAGAATCAAGATTTTATTGATTAATTATATAAGGAATTTGAGGAAGACAGAAGTGAAAAAACATTCTGATTACAGTTGGACATGAGGACCATAGACTTCAATTCAGGTTAGAGAGGAAATTTGAGTACAGTGTCGAATTGGTTGAGTTTGAAGAGTCTATCCAGAAAGAAATGACCAGTAAACAGTTCCCTTTGTGGCTGTGGAGAAAATCTTGGGCAAGATAGACATTCAGAAGCAATAGATGAATAGGTTCTGGTAAAGTTTCTAGGACAGAAATGGGAATCAGTTGTGTTGGTTGTCTAATATCCATGACAGTTTTAGGAAATTAGTCTTTTAGAGTGTTAAAGCTTCTAAGAAATAATTACACAAATAGTTTCATGATCTGTTGAGTTCTAAGCAGTTTATTTTTGTTAGATTATTTAGCTTTTTATTTCATTGGTTTTGGTTTTGGTTTTCACATTATCTTGATTTTTAACTACATGTATCATGGGTAGATATACAGCAAAATAAAGTTGTGATAGAACTTTTGAGAGTTTATGTTATACACACACATACAGTACACATTCGCACACACATTCACACAAACACACACACATGCAGGTTTATTAGGAGTTAGCAAGGTAGGAGAAATGTAAAAGCCCCTAGGTTTATACATTTAGGTTTCTCCCAGTTCTATAAGTGAAATGTGTATGGGACATGCTTTTAGAAAAAAAGTGTATGTATTTTTAATAAATTCAATAGAAAATATCCATTATTCATTTTGTCCTTACTTCCAGCTTACAGTGACACTTAAAATCTTATATATCAAATCACTTACATGTGTGTATAATGTAAATATCTTCAGATATAAATATAAGCATGTAATTAACTTTTGTTACATTATTTTATCACAAGATACAATTCTATATATTTTAATACCTACATTCTTACCCTTGCAGAAGTTTTTATTTTAAATAATTTGTTTCAGAAGATTATAGTAGTAATTAAGCTTAGAAGTAATTTACTAATACTTTTAATACTAATTTATTCTCTAATTTAAATTTTCAGTGCAGTTCTTTTGTATTGTTACGATTTTGAATGAGCTATTACCATCTTATTTCTTATACTATATACACAAACATATAATTTAATTCTTGATCACTGTGATAACAATTAGACAACTGTATAATATATGACATTTATTTTCTTTATAGGAAAACGGGTCTCCTGAAGAGCATGCAGTCTATGTTTGGGACCATTTCATAGCCCAGTCTGCGGCCGAGAATGTATTTTTTGTTGCTCACAGCTATGGAGGGCTTGCTTTTGTTGAACTGGTAAGTGTAAATTTAATCCCTTTTTTAATTACCAGTCTCTTAACAGATATATCTTCTCTGTTTCCTTTGTCTTGATACCTGTTACTTTGTTTTGTAAAGAATAGAAATAAAATAAATTTGAATGAATGATTTGTGATATTTGAACAGAATAAGCTAATTTATTTTAGCATGACAGAACTTTTCAGTGATAACCAGAAATCTTTTTTGCCTTTTTCATATTTATATTTTCAAATTTTCTATATTTTAGTCCCAATTTCTGTACATATCAGATTTATTTTTCCTATTTTGTGTATATGCAACTGAAGCTTATGTTACCTGTAAAATTTCAAGAAACCCTTTGACTATTTGCCAACTATTCACTACTTGGTACTTGATCAGAATTGATAAAATTAGTATTACAACTATAAGAAAGGTTCCATTAATCTGCTTCCAACTAGAATGCATTTATTGGCCATAACAATTTGCATTTTAAAATAACCCAACTCTTAAATTTAAGATTATATGCACATGAAAGAAAAATTACAATATTGTCTGTATTATATACAGTATTAACAAGTAGCACAACCTTGTGCCAGTGTGGTAAATGTGATATAAACTACTCTGAAAATGTACTAATGAAATACTTGTGCCTCTATGTCCATAACCTCTTATGTCACGAAGAGGTATTATTGCTATAATAAAATGATTCATTTGATAATTTTAAATCCAGCTGTTACAGTGGACATTAATAGCAAGCACAACATTGACTAATTTTTATGTTTCTAGACTTGGATACTTTTGGTATGTCATGGAAATTAATTATATTTCCAGAGCCTTTTCAGCTGCCCTATACCTTATTGCTTATCACATGATTTAGACATAAAGCTGATGTTGACACCTGATACCTGAAAATACTTTAGGTGACCAAAATCTAAAAATGCTTATGCTATTTTAAGATCAATAAGGAAGTTAAATCTTTTATTTCTTATAGTGATTTCAGTTCAGGAGGATTCTTTTAAGCACTTTAAAGTTTACTAAATTTATTTATTTTATATATATAACAGATATCTGAAGCTAGCTCTTTAACACATTGATATGATATACTTTTAAAAATATAAATGTTGCCTTTCAAATAATTCCTTTCAACCCTACAGATTTAAAACTATGCAAATACAGATTAGATACCATATGTTTTCCTTGTAAGGCACTAAATTACTTAAAGCATGAGCTTTCTTAAATTGTACAGTGACTTAAAATATGTTTGAAGGCCTGAAATACTAACCAAATTTCAGATTTCTGTAAAACATGAATACTTTTTTCTTTTTATTTTTTTTTCCTTTAAGACAATTCACAAAAACCCTTGTGTACAAATTTTGCGATTTAAGTAGATTTCCAACGGTTTTTAAGATGAACTTAAGATGCCAGGGTTGACAGATGACCAGGGTGTCAGTCCTGCTTTGCCCGTCCTTCTTGTCACACACTGGTGGATATTTCTCCACTTTTGTTCCACTTTAATATAAAGCACACAGATGTTTCAGAACAAGACTTGACTTCTGACCTTGAGGCTATTAGGGTCAGGGTCCTCGGGGCCTGTGAAATTATCACAAGCTGAGCTAAAGTTTTTCTCCATCACAGGAAGTAACCAGTAAGTAAGAAGTTAAAAAGGAGCTTTGTCAGAGAGACAAGATGGTCTCAGTAAGGGTCAGCTTCTGTAGTCTGCTATCTCTGCAGGAGGCACATGCATGGGAGGAGGAATATAATATAACCACTGGCACATCACATATCTGTCAGGCAACACCAGGCCTGAGAAGTCTATTTAATGTCATATACCTTGTTTAGGTTTGAAAACATTAATGGTGATTATCCCAATTTCATATATTTGCTACTTTTTGTGAAATAACTGATTAGGGTATGTAATGGGGGCATACAGATGGTGACAAATGAAGGAAGAGTGATTCTTAACCTACAAAATTAGATTCCTCTAAGCAAATAACATTGTGCACTGATGAGTTTTACATCAATTTTTGACAACTGTTATTATATTTAAATTCATTATATTTCAGTTTCATGGGGCTTTTAAAAAGATAATGTTGTTAAAGAAAATACGAATAAATATTCTCAAACTTTTTGCTTTTGCCTTAAACTAAGTAATATTCTTTCATATTCTCACCGATATTCTTCAGGAGAAGATCATGGTGTTTAAAATGTTGACAAATATTCTCAGGATTTTAAAACATGGTGTAATATATGAAGTTGTTTACATGAATTCCAAACTTTTTCAAATTGTCCTACTTTGTTTAAGTAACTGTACCGCACACACACACACACACACACACACACACACATATGCAGAAGGGTATTAGTTTGTAGCATCGTGTTTAAATGCATGGAAATTGTTCTTCGGCCATCATCATACAAGTTCACGTTCTTCTGCAGGTCATGAATGTCAAGAAAATTTATTTTCATGTAAATTGTGTGGCAAGGACAATTTCACCAATAAATGCAATTACTTACACTACCTACTGTTTACATCAGGGTACCAGTCAGGACCTAAGATTAAATGTATCTTGCCAATCACTGATTTAAAACTGTGTATAAATTTGGTTTAAAACTCAGTGTGTGCTAATAGATATATGAAGATAAATTACACTGAAATTTAGAGCATAAAAATTTTGTAGAACTTTCATAGTTTGCTAATTGTTGTATTTGAAAACTGAGAGCAACATTTGTGATTATATCCTATCTTACAGTGTCGAATTTTTCTCCAAGAATATATTACTATCACATTTATTTTCAAAAGCAATGTTCATTTTATGATAGTAAACCTTAGAACCTGACCAAGTTTAACCTCATAAAAGTAGTGGACATTATACCATCGTAAAGGGAAAAATGGTATTAACAATATAGTTTTTCTCTGCTTTTGCTGTCACTGTACATTAACAATTCAGATTTTCAATTCTTTAACCTTTTCGTGATCCTAGTAAAAAAAGACATTGATAAAATAGTTCTTATCTTTTCTAGCAGTCATGAAAGACAAAAGGAAAAAACTATTTATGTTATGAATTTTTAATGCATTTTTGAAAGTGATATATTTTACTCTGTTATCTTTTCTATACATTTAAAATATCACCCATCTGTAAAGTTAATTATTAAGGCCTAACATTTCTCTCTTAGAAATTTTATTTTCTACCTGATAGATTTAGACATCATAATTTGAATGTATTTATCAAGTACATTTGGAAAGGTATCTACAAATAACGTAGCTCACTTTTACTTTACATTAGTTGTTAAAAACTCAGGATCTTTTTCTTTTTTTAAATTAATTATCATTATAAAACAGTGCAGTTTTTGACCTTAGTCATCGTCTTGTCTCCATCCACTTTGATGAAGTGATGTCATTGCTTTGTTGTTCGCCATTTTGGAGCACTTTATTCTTGTCTTTCCAGGTGATGATCGGTTTGGAAAAATCAAGAACCCTTAAAATATTTCTTTTACTTGGAAATGAGCTGCCAGTGCTTGTCAGTGCCCAGTTACCAATTTCAGCTCACTTTACCCTCCCTGTTTGCAGTGCTCAATAAATCAGTCTACATTCCGATTCCACTCCGTAGCCAGAACAAGACTGTTCGTATTTTTCATGAAATGTTACATATTTTAGTAAATAATATTCCATGAGTTTATTGACTCCTCTCGGCTGATATAAAATTAGTGTCTTTCTTATTACTTTTATTTCCTGTTCCATGTTATTAGTGGTATATTCCCATCCACCATTAAAAACATCACTTAGAAATGTGTGAAAACAGCTCCTTTTGAAAGCATGTCTCTACCCACTTTTGATTTTGGTTTCTCCATGCTTGTCAGCACTTGATTGGCACCTCACTTGCATGTGAATTAAGGAATGAAGGGAACTCTATTTTCCTGCCATTGTTCCGTGCTGGGCTCCCTGGCCTCCAAGCAGTCTAAGCTGCCCTTGAGCAGCTGATAGAGGACTGGTTTTGAAGGTAGCTGTGTGAGGACACTCGACCTCAGTCTACTCTCAGTAGGTCTTTTTAAATTGCCCAGAGCATGCTTTAGATTTGCACTGAAGAAAAAGTGGAACGGAGCTGAAATCTTTAGTTTTTATATCTGGAGACATCACCTAACTATGACCTTAAAGAAGCATCAGTGCATTTTGCTCACAAAGAACAAAGTAAATTGATTATCATAGAATATCTGCTAAGTGTGATCAATTAGGTAGAGTAAAAGTTGGGCTGCTGGCAATCAAGAACTGAAGGAACGTTAAGTGAGGAAGGATAAACCAGAGAAAAACTTAGTCTTAATTAGTATCAAAATGATGCAGGTTGAAAACACTCTTAGAAAAACTCTTCAAATCAAAGTAACTCAGTAAAACTAAGTTGTCATTTGTAATAAAGCTACAAGATACAGTGTAACTCATCTTGTTTCAATGTTGTCTTTTATCTCTGTCTTGACTTGCCCAGATGATCTACAACTTGAACATAGTTTAATGTTGTCTTAAATGTCTTAAATGAGCAGTCTTAAATGTCTTGTTTACTGATGTAGAGAGTTTAACCCTTAACAATGTCTCTTTAATTAATAAAATTTTTGTCTCTACTCTTCATTTAAATATTGACTGGTTTGAGCCTTCTGCCTGATCAATTCTTTCACATTAGAGAATGTTATCTTTTTGTCTTGATGTTAGTCAACTCTTCTCTCCCAGCTTTCCCTTTGACTGAAAGGATTGATTCTCTATAATTCATTCTTCTATGATTTTTTAATAAACGAAGAAATTTTTAAACCATCTTATGTCTTCACAGTGTTATCTGGTGGTCTATGGAATAAATCCAGAACACTTCCCATTTCATCCCACCCATGAGTTTACATCACCTTTGCCTTAATAATTTGCTTACTTTTAACTGTTGCCATGTTTTCAACCTTTCAGTATTTGAGATAGAGTTTATATACTTATTGATATACAATTGAAATCTATTGAGCTTTACTGGGATATAATTTACATACCATATTCA